TGCGCATGTGATTATAGTGTTGTATTGACTTGGTTATGTTGTACTTAGTGTAAGGGAAAAATGTTCAAGAGGTGAGTAATAGGTAGTAGGGGTTGTTTGTGTGTTGTAATGGCTAGGAGTAGAGGTAGCGTGTGTGATGAAATATGCTTAGGTGGATTTCACCTTGGGGTAAAGACATTGTGTTTAGTGTTAAGGGAGCTTGATGTAATATATTATGTGACTTTGGTTGGGTAATGTGACGAGGAAGTAGGGGTATGACGTGAACGGTTAGTCAAAATGTTGGTGTTTGTGTTTGGGGGATTTCTCTATGAGTTAGAATGGTTAGGCTAAGATCAAGTACCTGGAGGGTAGGTTTATTTCGAAGGATGTTAGTAGTCAGAGTACTAGTGTATGTTGGAGGTTTTTCAAGAGATAGTAAATGTGGAAAAGCGTGTGGTTTATGTCATTATCTTACTAGTTGGATTCTTTTGTTATGTGGTGGGCGTCCGGTTGACCGATGATGCCTACCAGTACACGTGTTTGTACTGATACTATTATTGCTATGTCTTTTGACATAGCCTGGATGCAGGATTGGTGGCGTTTCATTAGGTAAAGACGAAGGAAATCTCCAGCAGCTTCTATTCTTCCTTATGCATGGTGGGAGCTGTATCTTTTAATTATTGTCCAGTTGTAGTCTTAGTAGCTCTTGTACTTGTTTAGACTACATCCATGAGAGTTGTTTAAATTACTTTACAAGTGAAATCAAAAGCGTGTCTAAAGGTATTATTTGTAAAATCATAAGTATTACATTTATTTTTGTTTTCTTTAAATTTCTGCTTGTTTTACTATTGGGATATGAGGGTTCTCGTACTTAGGTGTTAGAGTGGGTTCCTGCACGATCCGATGGATTGGGTTGTGACAGACATCTATTACCTTTGGATCTGATTTTGAAACATTTCCTATGTCTTTTGTGGGCTCATCCAATTTAGAAAGATGGTGTCGATAGTGAGATTGATTCAATCTTGAGCAATCCTATTGAAAGTTTGTTGATTTTCCTCTAGAAAATAAACCTTTGCGTTCAAAGTGAATCTTTAGAAGGTAAATGAAAGTCGATGGGACTATTGACTAATACAAAGCAAGACTTTTTGTAAAAGGTTTTAGAAAAGAAGAAGGTCTTGATTTTTTCGACACTTACTCGTCAGTAACTAAAATTATATTCATTCGGATGTTAACTACATAAACTGCAGTTTATGACCTCCAAATTCATCAAATGAATGTGAAAACAACTTTCTTAAATAGAGAATTGGATGAAGAAATTTACATGGAATAGACCAAGGGTTCTGTGGTTCTTGGTGAAGAAAAGAAAGTGTGCGAACTTGTTACGTCACTTTATAGACTAAAACAAGCACCCAAACAATGACATAAGAAATTTGACCAAACGATGTTGACAAATGGATTTAAGATTGATGGAAGTGATAAATGTGTTTACCTTAAAATCACAAGGTCATGATTTGTTTGTATATTAGTGATATGTTGATCATCACTAGAGACACTAATGACATAAATGCTACTAAACATATGCTAGAAAACAACTTTGATATGAAGATCTTGGAGTTGCTAATGCGATCTTAGGTATAAGAATCCTTAGAACTTCATAATGTTTAGCATTGTCACAGTCTCATTGCATGTAAAAGGTATTTGACTAGTTCAAATATTTGGATTTCAATATTGTCAAGACTCCATAAATGTGAGCTTTGCACTTCAAAAGAATGAAGGTGAAAGTGATTAACCATTGTATTATGCTAGAGTATTGGGAAGTATGATGTATATGAGAAAGTGTATGCGATCAAATATAGAATGTGCTATTAGCAAACTGAGTTGGCTTACAAGTAAACTTAATCAAACTTATTGGATGACCAAAAGAGTTTTGGGAAATTTAAAACATACTCAAAACTATATCGTGCATTACAACAAATATCTAGCACTATGAAAGGATATAGTGATGCAAGTTTGATCACCGGGATCAAATAAAGTAAAATTCACTAGCGGATATGTATTTACTCTTGGCGGAGGAGTAGTCTCTTGGAAATCTCCCAAACAGAAATGTATCGCTATCTCTAAAATGATCTTTGAGCTTGTTTCTCTAGATAAGACCGGTGAATAAGTTGAAAATCTCCAGAATTTGATAGTTATTCTCGTTTGACCCGAACTTTGACATTAGTATGCATACACTTTGATAGTCAATATTCAATAGGTAGGGCTCGGAGAATGATGTATAACGAAAAGTCTCGTGAGATAATAAGTTGACATAATACCGTTGGAAAATTATTCTCTAGTGGAATTATCACAATTGACTTTGACAAGTCAAAGGATGTGTCTGATCCAGTTACAAAAGACCTGATTAGAGAGAGAGAGTTGAAAGATCATCTAAGGGAATGAGTTTACGGCTTAGGACAAGTCATCATGGCAGTAACTCTACCTATCATACTTGAGATCTCAAGAGCTAGGTTCAAGGAGTAAAACAAAGTTTTAACTGACAGTTCGACATTGTCGACCAACTCAATCCATTCTCATGATGAAGACAACGCTCAGGAACAAGGATAAAACATTAAGTCTTGTTAACGAGTTAATAAAGCTTAAAGTTTTTAATGATTTTCTAAGTGTGAAGTGTAAGCCATTTCAAAGAGAATCATTGTAAAAAGTCTATTGTCTATACACTCATGAAACCAGGAGGATTGTTGCGTTTTAAAAGGTGTAATGAAAAATGAAGAGTTGCAACTTTTATGAAAAGTTGTGATTGTAATGAAAAGTTGCGACTTTTATGAAAGGTTGTGACCTTTCCGAAGGGTTGTAACTTTTCAAAGGGTTGTGACCTTTCTGATTAAGGCACAATAAACATTTGTTCACACTACCCGTTGTTGTCTATAAATAGAGATTTTCCTCTTATTTTTCTGGAAAAAACAAATTTTCTAGACTTCTTCTACTTCTACTAAATCTAGTATTCTAAGTGTACTTTACTGTCGTTGAGTGGTTTGCTGATATCGTGGTTTTAGGAATCAAGACACCGGTGAGTAAAATCGTTCTATCTTGGGAAGATATATTCCATTAACCTTGGGTACTTGAGGGAATAATTTCCTGAAGGAGACACTATTCATTCAGTGGACTCGATTTTCTTTCTTAAGAAAAATATTTTGTATTATGCTTCTAATCTGTTTCTGATTTTAGTTTCTCTACTGGTTTCAATTTTCTAGTTTTGAAAATGCTCTTTAAACTTTGTTATTTCTTATCAAGTTCTTGAAAGTTTTTTTAAGTATCTTCGGAATACAAGATGAACGACACTTTTATCTCTTTGATGGCTCTTATATAGGCTTCGTTAGAGCTAGTAGTCACTGAGATCTTTGACGACAAAGAAGGCAACCCCCAAAAATTGATCCTTGGAAAGAGGAATTGATACTTTCGACTTGTGCCATTTTTAGAGATTACGATTCAGTCCTCAAAATAGATTGGTACTTTCTTTCATATTAATCACACGGTCTTGATACTTCTTAATTTCCTTCAAAATAGCCTGGTACTTAATATCATGATAATATATAATTGTCCTCCTATAATGAGAATTGTTTTGTTACATTAACATATCTTTGATTTGATTGTTTTATTTCTTATATACTAATACTATATAGAATTTTATATCATGGATATCTTGAATATGATTTTATCAATAATTATTTCTACTTATTGTCGTACTAAAAATGTAAAAGTGCTTTGGAAACATGTGTATGTATAAGCTTGACTTTGAGCTAGTATGGGAAATAGTGTGGAAGTAATATTATTGTGAGTTGTAAGAAATAAATGAGTGTTGTTCTTTTTAAAGATTAGTAGTTTTTTGACACTACCAAGTTTTCTTCAATATTATTGATGTTATTGTTACTCTCTTGCTATTGCTATTTAGCGTGGAGATTATCTTGGGTGTGATTATCATTTTGTCAAACAAACTATACATACATTAAAAACCCTACAAAAGAAGATGATAAATAATATCAAGACTAATATAAGTCTTTGTCCCCCATTTATAAATGATGAGAACTTGCAACATTCACCATTTTCTTCTCCAACTATGTAAATCGGCCATGAATGATCAACGACGAGTAATCCTTCTATCTACACTAGAAGAGAAGCATGATTATCTTATGCCACATAGCATCCTGACTTGCATTCTTCTATCTACACTAGAAGAGAAGCAAAACAATCATGATTTTCTATAGGGAATTCTGATTGAAAGGTACTTGACTAAATGAAGGTGTTGTGTTTCACAAATTAAAATATCTACGAATTGTAGAAGCAGATCTGCAAGGATGAGATTCCCCAGGGTATTGAAGAAATAAGTTCTAGCGGCATATATGATAATACAGGCATACCACATTTTTTCTACAAGTTTGTAATATCTTGATAAATAAGAAATTATGTTATGCAATTCAAAGGATAAATTCAACATGACAATGGACTAATAAAATAACATATATAATTAAAATTACTAAAATCATAATGGATGAATATTACATGATGAAAAACACTTAGTACTGACTTTTACTGAATCATAACTAATGAACACAACACTTAGGATAACTCAAATGACAAATGAACCTAGACATTTAATATAATATTTTATTTTTGACAAATCCATAACACGTGCACTAGGAATGATGGCTGAACTAGTAATTGGGAACTATGGCAGAAGTAGATCCACTAACCCTATTAGCAAAGGGTCGACCAACATTGAGTCCATATGAAGAACTTTAGCTAGCACAATTAGGAGGAGTCTAGGCACTTCTCAATGTCTAAAATGGGAATGCATTATTATTCACCATTTGTGCCTCTTTTTCAACCTTTTCCTTTAGAATTTCCAATGCCTTCTTCAGGTGTTGAAGTTGGAATAAGTTAAGTTCTTCCAAAAGAGGTTCCCACAATAGACCATTAGCTCTCTTCGTAATTTCTCGAAGGCATTCTCCGCGATTTTTCTCCATCTAGAGAACCCCCTCGAGGTTCATGAGCTTGGTATTGAGCTCATGAATACCAGCTTCTCTACGAGCCACGATTTGTTGACTGTAGACATCATTATTTGGTGGAGGGAGGTTCCTCCCAAGGAACCTCTCCACCAACGTGTCCACGTTAGTGTGACCAAAGGAGAAAACTTTACCGTCCTGGGAAACTACCACAATGGCAATTTCAGCAACACATAGCGTACAAAGTTCACTAGTCTTTTTGAACAGACCAGCACGTCGATTAGAAAAGGTAACTCCTAAGTTTCTCGCATTCTTCATTATCACCATGTCAACCCTTTGACGACCCTTGCTGCTTCTTGTTGTCATGTCTAAACTATCACTAAGAAATTGTGATTTTTAGTCTTAACACCAAGATCTTTATATTATAAACTGTGTTTTAAAATAACTTAATGATATAGACGTTAATGATTATAATTATACAAATCATTTTTTTCCTAATTAGATTTATATTATTGGATTGCATTTGACCGCTATTTTATTTGAGAACAATTTTGGAAAAGCAGATATTTTAAATGATTAATAAAAACCTTTCACTTTAATAATAACACCAATTTTGCATTTACCATTGAAGTTTCCTAGTCAATCATCATGTAGAGATTTTTCCTAATTAAATTATATTATTGGATTGCATTTGACCGCTATTTTATTTGAGAATAACATTTTTTAAAAATATATTAAATGATTAATAAAAACCTTTTATATTAACAATAACACGAACTTTGCAGTTACCATTGAATTTTCCTAGTCGATCACCATTTAGAGATTTTTCCTAATTAGAATTATATTATTGGATTACATTTGACTGCTATTTTATTTGAGAACAATATTTTTTTAAAATATATTAAATGATTAATTAAAACCTTTTATTTTTATAATAACACCAATTTTTCATTTACCGTTGAATTTTCCTAGTCGATAATCATTTAGAGATTTTTCCTAATTAGAATGATATTATTGGATTGCATTTGACCGCTATTTATTTGAGTACATTATTTTTTAAAATTATATTAAATGATTAATAAAAAAACCTTTTATTTTAATAATAACACAAATTTTGCATTTACCACTGAATTTTCCTAGTCGATCATCATTTACAGATTTTCCTACTTAGAATTATATTATTGGATTGCATTTGACTGCAATTTTATTTGAGAACATTTTAAAAAAATAAAAATATATTAAGTGATGAATAAAACCCTTTTATTTTAATAATAACACGAGTTTGGCATTTACTATTGAATTTTTCTAGTCTATAATCAGTTAGAGACATACAATGTATCACATCAAGTATACGCAGGCATTTGGATTTATGATTGTTGTTCTTATTTATACCGTGTTATTCAAGACCTAAATAGGCTTACAAATCAGATCATGATATGATCAAGTGCTTTCTGGATCTTCTCTACCTTCTTATTGGTATTTATCTCCAAAATGCTTATATATATATATAATATATATATCATGTTGTGATATATTTGCCTTTTGAATTAGTAAATGCTAAACAACTCACATTCAAATATTATATTGATTTGTACTGGATTAATTAACAACAAACAACTCTCTCTAAATAATAAAATTTGTAAGCTTAATTTACTAGTACAAATATAAAATATAAAATGTAGAAAATAAACAAACTCGTTAAAAGGAGTTGAGGGGTATTTTTGTCTTTACATAGATTAATACCATGGTGTTAAATTCTATGTATTCCTAATATCACCAAATGTAAGGTATTAGTTATACATCTTATACCATGTATGGTGTATTACTAATCCATGAATTCATTATACATAGACCCTAAATTTCTACCAAATATAGTACTAAATAAAATCATACAAATACATGGACTATTTCTCCTAATATTCGCTACCAAACGACTCAATATTATTTTTCAATTTTTTGATGATTCTACAACTTATTATATGAACTTTGTCCTAATTAAGCTTTCTTCTGCTTGTCTCTGCCCAACCTATGTGTTACTATAAACTGGTATTCCATAAGTGATGAGCTACTACAGGAATTCATATTAAAACCCTAAATTTTCATCAGATTAACTTCGCCAGTAGGCGTCATGGCCAATGCCAGCGATGTCTGGCCTACACTCCATAATGATGAACAACCACCAAAACCACCATTGAACTATGCAACGACTTTGAATAAAGTAGAAGACAAAATCACAACGCCTATCCCTATCAAAGATATAACTCACATTCATGGAGAGCCAACTGTATTCTGCGAGTGAGGAAGAAGAGGTTGAGACCACAATCATTAAAGAAGATTTACCGTTTTCCATATTGGAAAAATTTCTTATGGCTCGTCAAAACTAGAAGAAATTCGTAAAACTGGTCCTTTACGGTGTGAGATTCCAGGCGGAATGTAAGGCAGGATTCTTGAGTGATAGACACATCCTAATTCGCCTTACTACTATGGAATATTATGTGCATGTCATGTCAAAAATTGGCATATTTTTTGAAGGCTAAAGATGGGTATACTATCAGATACAACCTCTAAAGTGGGAACCCTAGTTCAAGCCAGAGACGGAAACTACTACTGCCTTAGCATGGACCTCTTTTCCATCCCTATCACCTAATTTTTTCATTAAAGAATCCTTCTTTACGAAGTCTAAAGCAGTGGGAAAACTGTTAAATGTTGACATGGCTACAATAAGCAAATCTAGACCTAGTTGTGTCTAGGTAAAGTTTGAAGTCAACTTATTGAAAGAATTTCCCAAACGGATCAATGTTGGAGTTATGAAGACATCTTCTGGGGAAATAATCTCAACATGGATAAAAATCTGATACGATTACATGCCAAAGTATTGCAAATATTGCAAACTTTAAGGCAGGGGCATGATTTTCATCGAGGGGGTTTAAAAAGATAGGTAACCAAGTTGGTCGGGGCTGGTGAAATATAAACGGGTCAGATTCGATATAAGCAACTAGATAAAATTCAACTCTACCTCAACACAAACAATGAAATCGAGGAAGTATGTGTTTGATATAATGTTAAAATGAGTATGAGAGAATGTATTTTATAAAACTTTAATTGTGGTCTTGTCTCTATCATTGTAGTAAATATACGTTACTAATACATGTATTCACACGATGCACATATAATATTAATATAGTATTTTTTATTTATTTTTTATTGTGATATCTTGTTTGAGTATACTAAATCATATTACCTTACAAAAGTCCAACTATCGTATTGTTCCTCATTAATGAAATCTAATACCTCCCCCTCTGTCACGCCTCGAGCCTACACCCTGGACGTGACCGACACTCTAGAACCATCATTGATCCCAAGAGAATCCTTGGCCTTGCTTCCTACTTAGGGGAAGACATTACTCAATAACAAGAACTTCAAATGCATAGATTAACTCAATTGTCTCAACTATTGAATAAATTTAGAAACGTCTGGAAATATTCAAATAGCCATAAGAAGGCAACTCAAGTCTCAAAAACTTAACAAGGGAAATGGAAAAAGACTCCTCAACTACTACTCTCTATGAATCCTTTAAATACTACAATAGATGTTGGGAAAAGACGCACAATATCTTAATAAATCTAAAGAATGTAAACTGGGAACCCTTTGGAAAGCAAAGAGGTTTACCAAAGCTAGCTAGAATGAAATGGGATCAATGAAGTGCTTGTTCATGACCCTGAACACCTATATCGTATCATAAATAAGATGCAGATCGAATGACGTCAGTACATTGAATGTACGAGCATGTAAGGGGAAAGATGACACTTAAGCAATTGAACAGTTACTCTGGGAAGACAAAGAAATTCCAAAATTCGTCCCGAGCAAAGATTAAAAAAAAACGATAATAAAAATTCAAGAATATGAATAACCTAATATCGGTGTGAGAGTACGGGAATTGAACATATGAGAAAGTGAAGGATTATTGAATTTAAAACTGTTTGGCCCTTTTAAAATCTTTCAGTTCACGTGACAGTCGGCGAAGTAAGTCTCATCTGCAGACCTACTCGGCGATGCGCCGAATGGTATTTTAGCTCGCCGAGTTTTACAGAACTCCCAACAATTTGGGGGTTCAAACGGTGGACATAATCGGGCTTGCCGACCTGTTCGATTAGTCGCCGACTGAGCTTTTGGATCGCCAAGTTTTACAGAATCCCCCCATCAAGCTGGGTGGTTCAAACCATGGTCTAAATCGGGCATGCTGACCTGTTCACCGTGTCGTCGATTGGAATTTTACCTCGCCTATTGCCCATTTTCCAACACTTTTCACTTTTCAATCTGCAAAATCAACACCCATTATTGAAAAGCAAAGTTTAAAAAAATCACCAAAAAGTTGGGTTGCCTCCAAGGAAACGCCTTATTTAACGTCGTGGCACGACAAAGATACCAATTCAAACTTCATTTTCTGAGATTGGCTATTGTGTCACTAGGCAACCCTCATTTTGGCCTTGGGTTCAAATGAGATGAAATTTGACCCATTTGCATTCCAATTGCTTGATTGACACTTAGTGCGAGGTGATCGTTTGATTAAGTGTAGAGACTTCCTCTTTTATTTCGTTCAAAACTTTGTCTGACCCTTCCACCTTATTGAAAAAGTGCGCAAGCATGTCTTTCGTACGAAAGTTCTCCGGGTCAGCATTTTGTTCCTTAGGCTTTTGATGTTCATAGGGTGGAACATATCCTTCCTTGTCACCATCCCTTTCGTTCCAATTGGCAATACTATCACGCCATTGTCTGTCACGGTCTCTCCATACATCATCTCTATTCAAAGTCAAATTGCCACCCGTCTTTGGACAGTTTGGATGAAAACCTCCTCCTTGGTTTGCAGGGAAGTTTACTTCCTTATTATACAGTGCTTCAAATTGTGCTTCTTCATGGTTTGCTCCACCAATACCCACATTATTTACACTCTTCAACCCACTACACATCACATTATTCGACAATATTTCCAGCTGGGTCATCTTTTTTGCCATATTTTGGTCTCTCTTGATCCTTCTCGATCTGCTCTTTCGTCATCCTAAAAGTGAGAGGAGACACTTGGTCCTCACGATTTCACCATGCTCTATTGATCTTGGTCATGCAATCAAGGAGTTGAGACAGTACCTCATAAAGATGTTGCATTATACCTCTGGGAACAAGTTGATCAGCAACACCTTTGTTCACCGAGTCAAGACTCCTATAAAAGTATTGTAGCGGCACGTTGTTTGGAAGTTCGAGAGTCAGACATTGAAGTACAAACTTCTGAAATCTCAACCACGTCTCGTGGATTTGTTCACCGTCCAAGCGTTTGCAACTCTGTATACTATCCCTTAATATCATCATTTTGATGAGGGAAAGAATCTCACAAAGAAATCCCATTTGAGTTCATCCCAAGTGGTGATGTAGTTCCTCGATAGATCAGCTAACCATTAGGTAGCTTCACCCATCAAAAAGAATGGGAATTACAACCGAAGAAGAACTGATTCTTGTGATATGTTCTTGAATGAGAACGGAACACAAATGTCCACGATGTTCTGAATATGTTCATGGGGATCTTCATGTGCAATCCCTCCATATAGGCCTTTCATTTGCAGGAGTTGTAGCATTGTGCAAGTGACATGGAAGACATCATTCCCCTCAACCGGAGGTAGACGTATCGCACCAACATCACCCAATTGAATCGGGTCATTCACATCGTTATGATATCCAATATCATCTTGGTGGCCAACTTGGCTACCATTACTCTGGTTCACGCTCATTTCTTCCTCTGTTCAAAACAAGCCAACACAGACACGAAACAAAGTAAGTCGAGTGAACTATAACACAAAAAGATTACCACTTTAAACTTCAATAATAGAATTCGAAACAATGTATTTATTTTTTATGTTTCTCCTTCAATTTACTTAAAATAATCTATATCATAAATCATATGTTTACTTAATTAGTTAAATATTAATAATTTAATTACATAATGAAATATATGAAGCCCAACAACTATACTTTATTTCTTATGTTATGGCATTATAATTATAATCGATTAGATTAATTAATTTAATTAAAGTAGAAGACAAAACAATGTATGAAACTCTTCCAATTCAGTGACTCTTTAAATTTTGAAACCAATTTTTTTTTCATGTGTCATGATTCAATGTGTCTCATTATTGAAATTCTTCCAATTCAGTGACTCTTTGAATTTTGAAACCAAAAATAAAATGTATGTGTCATGATTCAATATGTCTCATTATTGAATTTTGATACTTGAAAAGATAGCTAAATATCACTATAAATACCAATAAATTATAGCCACAATTTGCTTGTCCGTAGATCATCATATTGTTTTCTTTTTTGTCATATACAGTTCTCTAATCTTCTTCTTAGATAATGATATAACATAGTCAAGAAGCTAACTAATGAGAAGAACAGATGACATCATGCGGAAGTTAGCTTTCTTACAATAGAATAGTTGAAGTTCGAAGTACAAGAGATGAAATCATGAAAAAGAGAACTTTTCTTACGGTATAATAGTTGAACTTAGAAGATTAGAAGAGGGAACCTATTCCTTGAGATCCTTTGTTTATTAGCTCATAATTTTAAGTTTTCATTTTCATTTTGGAGTTAAGGTATGGTTGTCCATATTAAATTTGGTATGCAATCCACATTTTTATGCAATTCTTGTATCATTTTGCATTGTTGTGGGAATTTTATTTTTATTTGTCATTGTGTTATTGTTCTTGTAAGTGTTACTTAATCGAAAAAACTTCTATTAATGTATGATGAGTTTGATAATACTTGAATAATTTATGCAATATGCTCATATATTCATATTGTCAATTTTCTAAATTCAAATTAATTTAAATAAAGATTGCTAAAATATTGTTTCTTTGAATGAGAGACAAATGTTTCTTGAAGTTGTCTCTTCAATTAAAGGAAGCAATCAAGAAATGAGTGGTGACCAACTAATGGAGATTGTGTATAGAGGTCTGAAGGGTGGGAGATTTCTAATTGTCAAAGATGATATATGGAGTAGTGAAGCATGGGACCAAATGCAAAGAATATTTCCAAATGATGACAATAGAAACCGAATCATATTAACCACTCGGCCAAGTATGGTGTTGATTCTGTGAGATGTCCTGACTTTCCACCTCATAGAAAGTCTTTTATAAGTCTTGATGTCCTGATTTTCCACATTTATTTCAATGCAAGAAGATATTTCAAAACATATGTTTTATAGTTCAAATTGCTTAATGTATTTGATGTATTTTCAATTGATTAATATGATTTCTCGTGTAATACCTCAGCTTATACACTTGAGATATGTTTCGAAGATAAGTCTTTGTCGAATCGATAGGGTTGATATAAGAAAAATGTTAGAAATAAGACATTTTGATATTGGATCGCCACTATATATATCTTATCCTCTTGCTGCGGAAATCATAAGAAAAACACGCAATTTATTCCCAAGGAATTCCAATTAAAAGGTACTTGTATACCATGGGAAGTCATGACTTTGCTGGCTAATTTACCCAATCTCCAAGAGTTCCCTCGAACAGATTGGACACTAAATGAAGATGTTGTGTTTCACAAATTAAAATATCTACGAATTGTAGAAGCAAATCTATAAGGAGGAGACTCCCCAGACTTTTGAAATATCTTTGATAAACAAGAGATTAATATTGAATGCAATTCAAAGGATAAAATCAACAGGACAATGGACTAATAACATAACATATATAATTAAAATTACTAAAATCATAAGGGATAAACATTACATGATGAACACAACACTTAGTACTGATTTCAGCTGAATCATAACTGATGAACACAATACTTAAGATAACTCAAATGACAAATGAACCTAGATACTGAATATAATATTTTATTTTCGACAATTCCATAACGCTAGTAGATCCACTAACCCTATTAGCAAAGGGTCCACCAACATTGAGTCAATATGAAGAACTTTAGCTAGCACAATTAGGAGGAGTCCAGACACTTCCCAATGTCTGAAATGGGAATGCATTATTATTCACCATTTGTGCCTCTTTTTCAACCTTTTGTTTTAGAATTTCCAATGCCTTCTTCAAGTGTTGAAGTTGGAATTAGTTAAGTTCTTCAATAGGAGATTGCCACCATACACCATCAGCTCTCTTCCTAATTTCTCGAAGGGATTCTCCGCGATTTTTCTCCATCTGGAGAACCACCTCGAGGTTCATGAGCTTGGTATTGAGCTCAAGAATACCAGCTTCTCTAAGAGCCACTATTTGTTGATTGTGGACATCATTATTTGGTGGAGGGAGGTTCCTCCCAAGGTACCTCTCCACCAACGTGTCCATGCTAGGGTGACCAAAAGAGAAAACTTTACCATCGTAGGAAAATATCACATAGGCAATTTCAGCACCACATAGCGTACAAAGTTTGCAAGCCTTTTTGAATAGACCAGCACGTCTCTTAGAAAACGTAACTCCTAAGTTTCTCACATTCTTCATTTTCACCATGCCAACCCTTTGACAACCTTGCTGATTCTTCTTGTCATGCCTAAACTATCACTAAGATTTTTGGTCTGAACACCAAGAGCTTTATATAAGAAATTGTGTTTCAAAATAACTTAATGATATAGACGTTAATGATTATAATTAGACAATTAATTTTTTTTCCTAATTAGATTTATATTATTGGATTTCATTTGACCGCTATTTTATTTGAGAACAATTTTTTTTAAAAATATATTAAATGATTAATAAAAACCTTTTACTTTAATAATAACACCAATTTTGCATTTACCATTGAAGTTTCCTAGTCGATCATCATTTAGAGATTTTTCTTAATTAGAATTATATTATTGGATTACATTTGACCGCTCTTTTATTTGAGAACAATATTTTTAAAAAATATATTAAATTATTAATAAAAACCTTTTATTTTAATAATAACACAAATTTTGCATTTACCATTGAATTTTCCTAATTGATCAACATTTAGAGATTTTTCCTAATTAAAATTATATTATTGGATTGCATTTGACCGCTATTTTATTTGAGAACAACATTTTTTAAAATTATATTAAATGATTAATGAAAACCTTTTATTTTAATAATTACCCCAATTTTGCATTTACCATTGAACTTTCCTAGTTGATCATCATTTACAGATTTTTCCTAATTAGAATTATATTATTGGATTGCATCTAAAAGACATATTAAATGATTAATAAAAACCTTTTACTTTAATAATAACACCAATTTTGCATTTACCATTGAAGTTTCCTAGTCGATCATCATTTAGAGATTTTTCTTAATTAGAATTATATTATTGGATTACATTTGACCGCTCTTTTATTTGAGAACAATATTTTTAAAAAATATATTAAATTATTAATAAAAACCTTTTATTTTAATAATAACACAAATTTTGCATTTACCATTGAATTTTCCTAATTGATCAACATTTAGAGATTTTTCCTAATTAAAATTATATTATTGGATTGCATTTGACCGCTATTTTATTTGAGAACAACATTTTTTAAAATTATATTAAATGATTAATAAAAAAACCTTTTATTTTAATAATAACACAAATTTTGCATTTACCACTGAATTTTCCTAATTGATCAACATTTAGAGATTTTTCCTAATTAAAATTATATTATTGGATTGCATTTGACCGCTATTTTATTTGAGAACAACATTTTTTAAAATTATATTAAATGATTAATAAAAAAACCTTTTATTTTAATAATAACACAAATTTTGCATTTACCACTGAATTTTCCTAATTGATCAACATTTAGAGATTTTTCCTAATTAAAATTATATTATTGGATTGCATTTGACCGCTATTTTATTTGAGAACAATTTTTTTTAAAAATATATTAAATGATTAATAAAAACCTTTTATTTTAATAATAGCACGAATTTTGCATTTACCATTGAATTTTCCTAGTCGATCATCATTTAGAGATTTTTCCTAATTAGTCAAGACTCCTATAGAAGTATTGGAGCAGTACGTCCGTGAGTTGGACATTGAAGTACCAACTTCTGAAATCTCAACCACGTCTCGTTGATTTGTTCATCGTCCAAGAGTTTAAAACTTTGTGTACGACCCTTTAATGTCATCATTTTTAATGGGGGAAATAATCTCACAAAGAAATCCCGCGTGAGTTCATTCCAAGTGGTTATGGAGTTCCTCGATAGCTTAGCTAACCATTTTGTAGCTTCACCCATCAAAGAGAATGGGAACAACCGAAGATGAACTGATTCTTGTGATATGTTCTTGAATGAGAACGGACTACAAACGTACACGAAGTTCCGAATATGTTCATGGGGATCTTCATTGGCTAGCCCTCCATATAGTCCTTTCATTTGAAGGAGTTGTAGCATCGTGCTAGTGACATGAAAGACAACATTCCCCTCAATTGGAGGTAGGCGTATCGCACAAATACCACCCAATTAAATGGGGTCATTCACATCGTTATGATTTCCAATATCATCTTGGTGGCAAACTTAGCTACCATTACTCTCATTCGTGCTCATTTCTTCCTCTGTTCAAAACAAGCCAATACAAACACGAAAAAAAGTAAGTCGAGTCAACTACAACACAAAAAGATTAACACTTTAAACTTCAATAATATAATTCTAAACACCACTACCTGGTAGCGGCACCATTTTTGATAAACGCTCAACAACACCTTATCTAATAGTAGGTGTGAGTGATTTTAATCTAGTATAAAACCTAACGAAAGGTTGGGGTTTAACCAGAGGGAGCGGTACAAGTTCGAATTCAGTTACGAAGTTACGAATGTAATCTAATTGGTGGTAGGAATAGAAATTATTGAAAATACTTAGTTAAATTGAAAGGGGTGACAACAAATGTTACTTATGTTATTAAGAGGAATTTTCAGGATATGATCAATTATAGGCCAATTATGCTATATGGGTAAATTGATTTTTATTAATAATTTGCTGTATCATTATGGATAGGCTAGACTATAAGTGCAATAGTTTTCGCTCAAACAACTATTACGGTTCAGGCGAGTTCTCTCGAATCTTGACAAGCTTAACACTACAAAATAGACTAAAACCTTAATTTATCCACTCTCTCGAGCTAGATAGGTAGGAGCGAGTAAAGATTCCCTCTCTCGAGATTAACCCATAACAACCCACATGCTAAAATCATCAATCGATAACCTTGGTTTTAGAACCTCTCTCTAAAACATTGAGCTAAAATTGTATTTGCAACTGCAATTCATAAATTACTACTCGGCTGTCAATCAAACCCACATTAAAACAACATTTAAATCATTAAACAACAATACCATAAGCTCATTAAGCCAATAATCACATGATCACACCCTATGAATTGGGGTTTTACCTACACATCATACAAAGAGAAAAACAATTTCCAACTATGCTAGCCATGAGCTGGGTAATTTCCAAGTCTCTACAATGCTCCAAATTGAATTAGTTCAAAGACCCAATTGCAATTCCTCCAAATTTTGTCTCAAAAGCTTCAAAGTTTCCACTAGAACTTAGAAACTCAAAGAAAGCTAAAAATCCTGAGAGCTGTGGAATCAGAAATGTGGGAACCTACTTTCTTTTTTTAAAAAAAATTTCAATTTATAGTTGCCCAATATTTTTCCTGAAAGGCCTTTGGGCGAAGTAAGTGGCGCTTCGCCAACCAGGTCGGAGATCCGACCTTCTCTCCCTTCCATCACCAATTTGCATTGGACATCAGTCCTCAGAGTTCTGTAAACTTCGGCGATCATAATTCCTGTCGCGGAGTCATTCGGCGATCCGCCGACTACCCAGTCTTATGACCTAATTGGTTCTTCCCCAGGGATGGCACACTGGAACTTTGGGTGAGCTAAAGAGCCACTCGTGGTTCGCAGAGTAGTCTTGGCGATCACCATGATCCCTTTTCTTCACTTTTTCAGTTTGTTAGTTCCTTTTTGCCTTGTAGCGTCCTCGCCTTTCCCCTTACCATTCTTAGCTGCAAGTCAACACTTTAACATCCGTTTAGAGTATCAATTACGCATTGGAGGACCCTTATACTATCAAAACAAATCCCTATATGAGTCAAAATCTCGGACGCAGAAACACCCCCAACTTAAACTTTTGCTTTTCCTCAAGTAAAACTCAGGATCAATTAGTTCAACAAGGATGTCTACAAATAGTGCTGCTTAAGACACAACATAAATGCAGACAAAAAAGGTTCAAACCACACGTACAATGATCAATTGTGCACTCAAAGTTTCAATTGTTTACTCACCATTATCAAGTGTACTCAAGCTCATAATGCTTGCTTCAATTGTAGGTTCTAGCTCAACAAAGGTATTCAAATGCCATCACAACAAAGATGATTCCATATTCACACAAAATTTCTCAAAAATTTAAGGTCCCGGAATCACATAAAACTGTCACACTCAAAAAAAATGAACATATGCTTGACTCAACCCGTAGGCTTGACCTTATTTTTCTATCAACATTCGTTTCAGCTCACTCAAGATCGCAAAGGTCTTTTTAAGGCTTTTAATGGGGCTTAGTGTAAAGGTATGATTATTTAGGCTTAGGAGCTTATACCTTCTTGAAATATGACCTGAAAATCACTTTTTCTCCTCCTCTTTCACATTCAAACATGTTCATAATCCATCCCATTATTCAACTAAACATGAATCACCGGATACCCCATTTCTTTTACTATTTTCACACACTTTATTTCACAACTTTTTTCTCCTTTTCAGTCATTTTCTTTTCTTTTTTTTTCTCTTTCTTTTTCATGGAGGGGTTCCATCTTTTTCAAAATAATCCATCAAAGGGGGAATTCTTCATATTTCTTTACTTTCCTTCTTTTTCACCACACCCCCAACTTAGGATTTTGGCCTAAGTTGGCTATTCAAGCGAACTAATACTTCATGAAGTTTATGGGTGATGGGATAAAGAGGTCAAAGTTGTTCAAGTTTCTTCCAAAGAAAAAGATAGGCTCAAAAGATGTCAAGCAAGGCTCACACTTCTCACAAGGTTGGCCACAAAGAGGTATATTGTTAAATTTATTCAATCTTCAAAAAAATTGCCTAAGATCATTTCAATTTCTTGCTTCGATCAAACAATCGGACCAACAGGGCAAATTCTAGGTGTCATCAAGCACAATGATCAAGACAACCTCATAACACAAGGCATTGATAAAATTATCAACAAGACTTCACTCTTTCTAGCTAGTATGCAATGTTCATCGCAAGAGACTTAATCGACAATCAGGTAGTCACAGCGAGATGCTAAAAGTTCACATATTGCCTGTGTAACTTAGTTTGCCACATCGTAGACGCACATTTATTTTGTTCAATTAAGAGCACTATTCAAGTCATCGGTATTGACCACAACTGACACTCAGATTTGCACAAGAACAACCACAATCACACATAAAAGAGGTGGCAAAATTTTTAAACTTGGTTAAAAACCATTTCAACACCATTTTCATATTAAAGAAATGGGCC